TTCTCGCTTCCTTAAAAAGGAAAAAAATATATACTCTCTTCTCCCTGGTGGACGGGTTGGAAAGAGTGGGTATAAAACCGGGAACGGTCTACTTCCTCCTTATGGCTGAGGCTGGGTGGGGGAATTCCCTTGGTCCACCTTAAATGCCAGCAGCTGTGTAGGTGGCGCCCCTCTCCCACCACAGCTGGAAGTCCCTGCCTGAGGGCGCCCTCTAGGGGGCCACTTCTGGCTTAGTCCTGCCCTCTGGAGTCGCATCCCCTGACACTGCATACTTTGGCAAAATATGAATTTCTCATACACTGAGCAAGGCCCTATAGAGGAAGATGATTCTATTTATAGGGTTTTCAGTCCGGCAAGAGACACTTCAACTGATAAATTTCAAGAGTTTAAATGGATTTACTGGAGGACTCATTCATTCATCCATTTCTCCAATTATTCTCTCATTTCTTAAAACACTGATGCCTACATTAATTGCTGATTACAAAGAAAAATAAAATGGACTCATACCTTCGAAGGGCCTTCTGATCCACTAGGTTCCAGGCTTTAGTGTGTGTGCGTGTGTGTATGTGTGTGTGTGCAAAACCCTTTTTTTCAAATAAAAATTGAAATCATAGGTGGATCCCCATAGTACAAACATAAAATTGGAACTGCACTATGAAAATAACTAGACATAAATGAGTACCAATCAAACAATTTCAGACCAGCAGCAGCAGCTAGAATGGGAATTCATTAGAAATGTAAGTTTTGGCCCTACCCCATTAGTACTAAAGTAGAAACTCTGTGAGTGGTGCCCAAGAACTCTTTTAACACACTTTCCAGGTGATTCTGATGCATACTAAACCCTGGGAACCACTGGGAAGTATACAAAAAGGCAAAACCAATCTAAGCTGTTAGAAAGTAGGGTAACATTACCTACCCTTAGGAATGTAGTGACAGGCCAGGGGCACAAAGGAGGCTTCCTGGATGTTGGTAATACTTGGTTGCTTGATCTGGGTGCTGGGTTCATAAATTTGTTCAGTTTGGGAGCATCCCACAAGCTGGGCATTTATGATATGTGAATTTTTCTGTGTATATGTTATATTTTCAATACAAAATTTTAAAAAGGTGAACTGCTCTGGTTGAAGGCATGAGAGGGCAGGGAGAGGAAGTCTAGGAGCCCATCCATAGCTCTGTCCTTACCCCACATGCAGCCCTGAGGGATTTCCAAGGGAACCTAAAGTTCCTTATAGTACAGCTTGAAATCATTGATCTATCCTAACAGAGTCAGTGAGTTGTTGAAAAGTCCCACAGAACCAGCACCAGAACCCAGATCTCCTGACTCCCATGCCAAGGCTCTGGACATGGTACCTTTGCTGAAGGGCTGATATCATGAGTGAGGACAGAGGCAGCTCCTCAGCTTCCTTACCCTTCCCCTTCCCTCAACTTGGGTCTTGGGAAAAGGGCCAAGACTGGTGTGAATGATGCTTTTCTCATCCTGGAGCAACTTCCTTTCTGGGAACTGGGTGTCTCCTTCTGGGCAAAGACAATAAAATTTATCCAAGGGGCCCGAGAAGCACTGGCCCTCCTACCCCAACCCGGATGGGCATCACGTGGCTCCTGGGTTAACAGTCCAGGAAAATCCCAGCCCTTGCTCGCTCAGCCTGCCACATCCATCTACTCACCCACCCTGACATAATCAGCCTCCCTCACCCACCTTGAACACTCACTATTGCACACTCCCTCGCACACTCTTTCACCCTTGGCTTCTGCCACCTCTCCCTGGGCAATACTGCCCACCTTTCTCTAATCCCAGAGCTTCAGTCTTGCCCTGTCACTCACTCCAAACCCACCATGTCACTGGGGTCACTGAAATTCCAGGCAATGGGTGAAGAAGATGAGGATGCGGAGAAAGCAAGCCTGGATTGTGTGAAGGCCCTGACAGTCAAGCTGCAGCTGCAGACACGGCGGCCCTCATATCTGGAGTGGACTGCCCGGGTGCAGAGCGAGGCCTGGCGCAGTCCCCAAGCCAGACCTGGGCCTGGGGGACCTGGGGCAATCTGTGGCTTCGACTCAATGGACTCTGCCCTTGAGTGGCTCCGGAGAGAGCTGGTGAGTCTGGTGATGCAGTCAGCCTTGAAGAAGGCCTTGGGGCCAGTCCCCCTTACCGGGCAAGACATGGGTGTTGGGAGGGGATAAGAATGGATCCCATCTGCAGCAACTGCTCCCACTCCTGTGGCTTTTCCTAGGACTGAAGAGCCAGGAATGGACTTTTCCAGTGTTTTATTCAGGGAGCCTTGCTGAAGAAGGATTCCAATCAACCTGCTGGTCTTGGGCTTCTGGCTCGGGACAGAACCTTGCCCTTAGGGGACATCAGTTATAGTTGGGGAAAGCATTGCCTCCCCTAGAATTGCTATACCCCAAAGATACAGTGAAGTATAAAAGGAGGCACTGACCACACTATAGGCAGAATCTGAAGAGGCAAGTGTTAAATAGGTGGCTTTTAACCCAATACGTGCAAATACAAAGATGTCTATGCTCCAAATTGGAGATTGTGCTTAGTTGATCTGGGTTGGGGTGCTAGGCACCTGAATTTGTTTAATAATGGCTCCTTAGCTTGGTTTTAGAGCAAGATCTGAGAGACGGGGAGGGATTGAGCTTGGGTGGGAGGGGGTGGGGAAGGCACAGCTAGTGCAAAGACCCAGGGTGTTGACAGGAATGGGGAGACTGAGGGCTGGTCCAGCGGGCTCACCTCCCCTCTCCGCCTCAGCGGGAGATGCAGGCTCAGGACCGGCAGCTGGCAAGGCAGCTGCTTCAGCTGCGAGCCCAGCTGCACCAACTGAAGGTGGACCAAGCCTGTCACCTGCACCAAGAGCTGCTGGACGAGGCAGAGCTGGAGCTGGAGCTGGAACCGGGGGCTGGCCTGATCTTGGCCCAGCCACTGCGACACCTCGGCCTCACGCGCATGAACATCAGTGCACGGCGCTTCACCCTCTGCTGAGGAGCATCTGTGGGTGCCTCCTTGGCACCCCCTACCCCTTCCTCAGCCCACCTGGGAAGGGTGAAGGAAGGTGTACCTCAGAGGCGCCAGCACCTAGTGAAGGATAGGGGGAGGGTTAGGGGTGACACCAGCTCTCTGGGAGTAGAAAGCCCCAGCATCCTGTCACCCCTGCTGCCCCAGCTGGGGGGTGTGGGAGGAAGGGGAGGAGCACACAAACTCCCAGGCTCCTCAATAAAAGCCCTCTCAGCTTCCCACCAAGGTCTCTGCAGTCATTTATTCAGGACCAAGGTCACCATGTGTCATCTGTTTCGGGGAGCAGGGATTCCACTGCAGGAGAGAGGGCCTGGGCTGGCACTGGAGAGGAACTGATGGATCCCCATCGCCCCCACAGCTCCAGATCTCTATCTCATCAGGATCAGACCTGAGAAAGAACTTAAAATCCTAAATCACTGTCCATGGAAGGTGACAGGTAAATGGGCAGCAGAGGGCAGGATCTGAACGGGTTCAAAGCCAGCTCCACCATTCACATCTATCAGACCTTGAGGAGGTCCCTTAACCCTTGAATGTTTTCTTCTCAAATAGAAATGCTAATTCTCACTCCCCAAGTAGTTGCATATGTCTTAAGTGAGATAATACCCAGTAAAGCACTCAAAATGTTAACTATTTATTGTTCATCATTACTATCACCACTAGTGGAATTACTGTTGTGCCCAGGCCCAGAGAGGACTGTGAAGAGTTCAGGTTTACAGCAAGGGGTGCTGGCCCCTGCAGCCAGGACTCTGGGCTCTGAGTCACTCTGTAGGTTTTTACTTTGTATCTCTCAGCCTTTGTTTCTGTGTTACCCTGTTTGACTTTCCAACTCAGGCTTCCTCTCCTCCCCCCACCCATTTCCTGTCTCCCCCTTTCCTCCGCAGCTGAGGTGCATACAACATCAGCTTCCACCTCAGAAACCCCAACAATGCTCTGTGGGCTCCCCTCCCCCAACCTGCTTGCTCAGTGTAGGCCCAGGCTGTGGTGATGTATTTATGCTTTCCTCCTGAGGGGCAAGGCCCAGCTCTTGGGCCCAGTAAAAGCCACCTGGAGTTCCTCATAACACTGGTGACCTGGAACTCAGCCTTTGAAGGGTGCCACCCTCAGCCTGGCCCCAGGGGAAGGGGCGATTCTTGGTCTGCCTGCTGCTAGTGACAAGGTTCCTACCTCCTGCCTGTAACACCAAGTCCTGCCAGTCAACTGCCTGCACCTGCGGGCCTGGGCGGGAGTGTTTGTTCTGACTTCCATCTGTTGCAGGAGATAGTTCTGGGACCTGCACCTCTAACAGAGGCTATGGTTTTGCCTCTATGTGAGTTAGAAGTGTTGCCCTACTTTCCAACAATGGTTAGTGGGTGTTGTTCAGCCCTCTGCTCACACAGAGGCTGTTACTCTGCCCTTCTGAAGACACGGGGGTGTCCTGCCTGCTTCTTGAAAAAGCTTGTTGTCTAGCATTCTATTTGTAAGAAGGGTGCTAACCTACATTCTGACTATAAAAAGTTGTTGTCCTGTGCCCTAAGATGACATGACTATTGTTTTGTGCTCACTACAGCATCTGAGTTAGCCTGACATCTGACTGTAACAAGGGTGTTCTGCTCTCCAAATATTTAACAGGGATAGTGTCTTCTCCTCTGACTCTGAAGAGATGTTACCTTTGCTCTTAGACTGTAGCATGAGGGTCACTCAGCTCTCAGACCATGACAGAAGTGCTACTTGCCTTTCACTGAACATGAATGTGTGGCAGCTCCTTGCTGGTTGGGAAATATAAAGGCTGTCCTTGACTCTCTTGTCCAGGTGCACCTGGCGGCAGGAGGGAAGCTCCATCCTTTCTTCACCTCCAAGTGCCATCCTGACCAGGAGCTGTATAGATTCCTAGGGGCTGAGGGGCAGGGGGCTATGGCAGCAGGAAGCTTGGGGTGCTAGAGGCTTGTGGTTGGGCTGCTGGGGCCCGGTTGGCTGCGGGGCCCTCAGGAGGAGGCAGGAAGTCAGGGTGGGACGTGGGTGCACGGAGACAGGCGGTGGCTACGACGGTGAGGGGAGCTGAAACCGTGTCTGGGCAGCCCGGCTAGGCCAGGAGGACCATGTGAATGGGGCCAGAGGGCTCCTGGGCTGGGCAGGTAAGGAGTACTGGGAACAGGGGTCTAGGGGCTGTAGTGGGGCCTGACAGCAGAGGGCTGCAGTTGGGTATGAGGCCAGACTCCCTGGCTATGCAGCAGCCCTTCAGACTAGGGCACAGGAAAATCTTGCTAGGGGTCAGGTGGGACATGCAGTCATCTGGATGACCTCTTTCCTGCATAGCTGTTGGCTCTTGCCATTGCCACACTGTCTGCCATCAGGTCCCACCTCACTGCGAGCACTTTCGTGGAGATCTGGCACATGGACTATCAGGTATTAAAAAGGCCTTCAGCAGTCCCCAAGTCCAGTCCCTCATCCCATGGTGAATGAGTCTCCTGAGGCCCAGGGAGAGCAAGGCACTCCCTCCCCACCGCGGCTCAGCAAGGCAGTGGCGCGGCCGCACTCTGGGAAAGGGTGATGTCTAGGCTGCGACTGCTCCATGGTGCAGGTTGAGTCAGGGACCTGGTTGCCCAGGCAGACCCCGGTGACAAGAATCTCCTGAGAGAGAGAGGAGTGACCCAGAGCATCTGGATGGACACGTGAGAAAAGATTTGAGCCTCAGTGACCAGACTGGCTTGAAAGAGGGAGGAGTCTTCTGATAGGGGCAGATGGACATGTGAGGGCACATTTGTCATCTGGGATGGGGCCTCCAGGGCGGAAGTATCTGACCTGACCGGACATTGGGAAATCAAAACGGAAAGAATGAGGAGAGAAGGCGAGAGGAAGGGCTATTTTTGTCATGGACAGGGGTGCAGTCAGCCCTGGGAGAGGGCCATCTAAACGTCCATCTGGAAAGCTGCCATTCCTGCCCCTGCCAAGTGCCACAGGATGCCCTCCCCACCTCTCCTTTCTGCCCCCCACCCCCGTCAGCCACACACAAATGGCATGTATAGGGCCAGTTGGTCCTGCTGATCCCTGCCTCAGACCCCAGGAAGGTAGAGGCCCAGGAGGGCAGTCAGCCACCTGCGCACCCATTTACTTTCTAATCTTGGGCCTTCAGTTTTTGGGGGGAGTCCCCACCTGAGCCAGACTTTCCAGGTTTCCCCTGCCCCATCCTCTGTCATTGGAGTTTTTCTTGACGCACAATTTCCACCTAGTCAGCAAGTCCCAGCCTTTCTCCTGTCCCCAGCTCGAAGGCCTGCAGCCTGTGTGGGGGCTGGTGTCTCTCCCTGTGCTCATCTGTACCCTGGACAGGCAGGAGCTGGGCCCCCCATCCAGCCTGAGCTGATAGATAATTCAGGGTCCCTCGCCCTCAGGGCTCAGGAATAGAGGTTCTTCTCAAAGGGAAAAAGGGCCAGATGATGGGCAAGAGAATGAGCTGAGGGCTCAGAGGAGAGAAGGCTCCCCTTAGGTAACCTGGAGGCTTCCTGGAAGAGTCAAGGTAGTCATGAGAAAGACAAAGACCCATTCTGGAGGGCATCTGAAAAACATGAAGCCTCTGCCTGGGTTCTGTTTCTTGGGTACCAGACCTGAGCAGCTCAACACAGGAGCACCACTGGGTATAGTGTGGTGCAAAGAACATGTGTTTCAGAGTTAGGGGACCCAAGAACAATTCCGGTTCTACCATTTCCTTGAACAAGTGGTTTCACCTCTCCAAAGTCCAGTTTACTTATCCAGTTTGCATTTAAATGCAAAAAAGAGGCGTTCATTTAAAGAGGCAATAATAAGCCCCTCCTTTACAGACTGCTGTGGGGAATCAAAGAGAAAATAGTAACTATGATGTGCCCTGGAGGATACCTGATATATAGTTGGTGCTTAACAGAAATTAGGCACTCCCTCCTCCTGAAAATGGTGCACCAAAGTGGGGACTGTCCACACCCAGAATTACTCCCACTCAGCACCTTGGCAGGCCAGTGAACCTCCCAGCCCCTCACACTTGTGGTATGGCTTCACAAATGAGCTGGTTTCCTGCGTGTAGTGGGTGTGAGAATTCTAGCCTGGGCCACAGTGTCTACCTTAGAAGAGAGTCCCACACACAACTTCACACACACACACACACACACACACACACACACACACACCACAGTCTCCCTGTCCCAGATACCATACATGTCACCATTAGAAAATATACACATGCATCTATGTGCAGAGGCAGAGGCAGGCACTCCACATACAACACTGGATCCTACAAATCCAAACACATGTGCACAAGTTGACAGGCTTCAAGGCCAAGCTCAGTTCAGTGAAAGCAATGCTGAGGGGAACTGGGTGTGTGAGTGGGATGGGAACAGGCAGGACCAAGTACCATTCAGGGACATAGCCTCTAACAACCAACTTCAATGCTGGTTTTAAAATATCTGGAGCTGCATTCCCAACGTTTGTCCTAAAGAGTACTAGTTCCATGGGGTCCTGGCAAGGAAAAGATTCTGGGGTCAAATCAGCATGGCCTCAGTTACGGACCGTCCCATATAGACTTCACAGTCAATGTTAGCTTGTTCAGCCTCTGAAAGTACCTGTGGAGAGGGAGAATGACTGTTTTGTCAGACCCAGTGTTTCCCAAACTTCCTTGATTGCAGAACCGTTTTTCCTGTATCACCTATTCCATGTCTACAACTCGAGACAAGGAGAGGAATGCAATGGCAGGCTGTGCAGTTGATCTGCCTGAAATGATCCTGTACCTTGGCCAAGTTTTTGCACTGGTGGTAGTTTTGCTGTTTTTTGTTTTTCAATTACAAAATTAGCACATGGCCTTTTTTAAAAATGCAAATATTACAGAGGCATCTAAAGAGACACAGCCCCCTCCAATCTCACTTCTGGGATGTGCTCACTGTGAACAATTTGGTGTGGGTCCTTCCAGATTTCCCTGCATATGGCTGCTAAAAAGCGTAGCGGGTAAAAGCCTGGTCTCTGGAGGCAAGTAGACCTCAACTTGCCACTCTACCACTTATTTGTTTGCTATGAGGCCTCAGACAAATCACTTTACCCTGTTGGTGCCTCAGTTTTTGCATCTGTAAAATGGAGATAATAATAGCACTTACTTCATAGGATTATTATGAGAATTACATAAAATCATGCAAATAAAGGCTTAGTGCAGAACCTGGCTTAAAAGAATCCCCTATATATACATATTTAAATGCAAAAGACTTATACTCAGGATTTTCTTCTGCTAACTCGCTTGCCATATTATATCCAGGATATCTTTCCATGTCAATACATGGAGATCTATGGTTTTAGCTAAACATTAACTTGGCTAATGGTGGTGATTTTGAGATGCGACTTCCTGGCAAGTATTGCTGTTTCGTGTTGCCAGTGTTGTTGGGAGTTACAGACATTGCCAGTCAGCAAGCTTAAGACAGGCCTATAGCCTCCTGTGCAAATGAAGTAACCAACAGAGGAGCACCCTATTTTGTCACAAAGAGCACGGTCAAGAGGATGGGAATCTGTCTATCTGTTCACCTCTATGTCCCCAGTGCTAGATCAGCATCTGGCACATAAGAGGTACCCATTACATTTTTGTTGATAGGCTGGCCAGTTAAGAAAATTGTGCCTCCTCTAACTCACTGAAGCCCAAGCCCAAAGTTCTGTCTTGAAGTGCATGCAGCACTTTCCCAAAAAATGGCCTGCCCACCACTGGCGTGGGTGAGTGATTTTAGGGGGTAAGGAATGCACATTTGGAAATGTAAATTTATGTATTATAGAATGCGTTTCTTTTAATGTGTACTGATTTCTGTTTATGGCTCATGATGCTGGTTTTCCATTTAGGATAGTGAAGTTTCCATTCTAGGTAAATATATCAAAGGTGAAAATGTGGTCTGCAGAAGAGTCAAATTCGCACAGGAAAATGAAAATGATTTACAACTTTATCAATTATCGGTCTGGAAAATGTTTAAGATTGGTGTAATGAAATGCCCGTGCTAGCCTAAAATCACAACTATTTTCATTTATTTAGTCCTAACTATGTACCAAGCCGTGTTAAGTATTTTATTATATGGGTTCATCTATATCTCACATATAATGCTCATAACAGCCCTACACGCTGGTCCTATTTTTATTCCCATTTTGCAGATCAAGAAATGGAGGGAGGCTTAGAGAGGTTTAGTAACTTGTCAGTAAGTGACTGGGGACTGAACTTGACTCACTATGGCATGGATGGGGTGAGCTGCGGACTCCCAGAAATCTGAATAAGGCAGCATGGCTTGCCAGACTGTGAGTAAGGCTCCATCCTGATAAAACTCCCAAATGCACACAGAGGTACAAAAGGGTGGAGACTCATTAAGAAGCATTACCAGGTTCATGCAAGTTACTAGTTGGAGGATCTCTACCAAAAATATCAGTTTTAGAATAATTGCTCCATAGCCCTTATTTATGGCAATAATTAACTAGCAGAATCAGTTATGTACTCAAGCTACTCCCCAGTTTGTGATAAATCCATCTTGTTTGCATATAAGAGAAGGCTTATCTTTCTGTTCTCTGTTTTGTGAACTCCTTGAACTCACAGTCTTCCTTCAAAAGTATATCATATTAAATAGGAAGGAATTCAGGTCACATCCCTGTTTTACCCACTAGAAATTATTTACCATGCCTGCCAACCCTGAGTCTAGGGTGTGCTGACAGTTCTGTGCAGGCATCCACAGCTCAGGCTCTTCACTGAACGTACACAAATACGCAATTTTGCCAATTATCAAACCTTGGCCAAAGAAAAAGGCCAAGAAAATGTTTTAAATTATTCCTGACAGATTTTGCCACAAGGTGGCCCAGAGTACCACAATACTCTACAAAAGAACCTGCCTACTCTTTTTTAAATTGAAGTTCAATTGATACACAATATTACACTGGTTTCAAGTATTCAACGTAGTGATTTGACAGGTAAAGCCTGCCTGCTCTTGACTTAAGGCATTAGCCTAAGAAACCCCGGCAAAAAAGCTGGCACACATTTTGGAAAGAATGTTTAATAAATGAATAGGTTTAGGGGAGGAAAATGAAAAGTGTTACCTTTTTTTTTAAATATTTTTTTTAAAGGGACAAAACATATTTAAGGCAGGTGAGATAATGTCTATGGAGTTAATAAAAGTAAACAAGTTGGCAAGAATCAGAACTCCTTATGATATGATTCTTAAACAATCCTGGGATCAGAAAATCTAGTCCAGGAGCTTAATGTAGCCTGGGGCTTATGATCAATTCTACATAGTGGGAACAGGGCCACTCTGTGTGCGGGACACTGTGCTGAGAGCAAGGAGGGCTGGGGACTAAAATCTAGCCCTTACTCCACTCTCCGAGTTTGAAACCCTAAGGAGGGGTGGCCCTTTATAATGGGCACAAAGTGTTCTGTAGACCCCAGGCAGCCTTGAGTTTGACCAAGAACATTACAGACCCTAGTTAGAGGAGGTCTAGAATCTACAGAATTCCTGCAATTGATCATGAGTTCCTGAGTTGGGAAAAGAGAATGTCCTGTTCTATTCACCACAGAATCTACCCTCTTACTGGTTCTGAGAGCCCCAGGGATTCTCTGGATCTGTTTCTCCTTCTCCTTCTCCTTCTCCTTCTTCTATCTTTCTTTCTTGCTGACAATGAGAAATTTATATTAAGCTTTAATTTTGATTTTCTTTTTACTAATGACCTCATTTATTAACCTGGTTAGATTATTTCGGCTACCCAACAATCTTTGTCAAACTAAGACCAGAAGGATGGGCCCACATTTTATATAAATAGATATATGATTTTATGACCTCACAGTTACATAAGGACAGGCACAACTGTGCACATCCCATTCTATTACACATCCATTTGCACACACTGATTCGTATAAATCCAGACAATGCACACATAAACACAAAGCTCATCAAGTCATACCTCTCCATACGCGTGGACTTGCTTTCCCCAGTCAGGTAAATGTACATTCAGAAATGTGCATTTTTGATAAAGGGATTGTCTTGGAGAGAAGGCCTTTGTTAACAGTGCAATGATCAAATTTTTGATGGAGATGGACCTCTGTCAGACCTGCCTCCGTGCCCCATATTCATGACCTCCCAGAATTCCCCACCCCCTTTAGACTTCCCAGGGAGTGAAGAGTAGGGGAGAACTCTTCCTTCCCAAGGATTCTTTGCCTTCCCCCTGACGTACTTCTCCTCCCCACCCCATACCCATGCCATGGATCTCATAATTTTGAAGTTTTTACCTCGTTTAGGTACTAATTTTCTTGTTTTCTAGTTCCTATTTTAATCAGAGACTTTAAGTATGCATTGAAGAAATAATAATACGATGTGTCAAACTAAGAAATAAATCACAGTACTATGTCCCTTCAGATTTTTGAAATAGTAAAATAACCTGCAGGCCTCCAACATCACCTGGGGCCTTCCGGGAGCATGCAGCTCCCATAGCTAGGAGCCGCTCACCAAAATAATTCTGGCTTCACCAAAATGGGTTCTTATGATTGCTGCTAGGCTTCTACACTACAAAGCTCACACTTCCATAGAGGGCATGATCTGCTATCTGCAGCTGGAAGGAGAGCTCCAAACAAGCTACAGAGGACACATCAGAGGTCAGATACCTGGAGAGTCACAGAATTCCTTTTAGCCTTATTTTTTTATTACAATTTTTTTATTAAGGTATTAATTATTGATATACACTCTTATGAAGGTTTCACATGAAAAACAATGTAATTACTACATTCACCCATATTATCGAGCCCCCACCTCCCCCCATATCCCACTGGAGTCACTCTATCAGTGTGGTAAGATCTTTTGGTTTACTTTAACACAGCTTGACTTTTTCTCACTCCTGGCCCCAGTCTTTGGGATATCAGGTCCCCTCTGGTAGGCCCAGGTTCAGTTCAGGAGATAGGTCCTGCCTGCAGGCTCTCCTGGACCCCAGCCCAAGACTTTGTGGCTCCTTTTCCCTCTCCACATGACTCCAACCTGGACCAGGTACCAACTTCCAGGCCTGTGATCTCCAGCCTGATGCTATCTGTCCATTCCACTGGCTTCTCCTCACTACTGTTCTCCAGTTCATCCCCTTTTCACAGTCCCAAACCTTTTCTTCTTCCTCTTACCCTTTTCTGAAGCCTCCAAGAATGTCAAGCCCGGAAGGATCTTACCAACCTCAGTCCACACTCTATCTGGCATTCTCTCTACAATATAACCATCCTGTGGTTTTCCAAAGCCTGTTTGAATATCACAAACAACAGGATGCTCACAACCTAACTAGCAAGCTTAGCTCATCGTAGGCTGATTCCAGGTTGTTATCAATCCTTTTCTGGAGGCTTTGGTTGCTAATCCATTTTTAGATATAATAAAATTAGCAATCAAAAAGCCATTTACAGCCAAAGATGGGTGGACTCTAGCCAGTAGGATTTCTCAGTTGTCTCCCCTACCCCTTCTAGGACTTCTCACAGACAGTGGGGGCAAGAGTGAATATGTGCCCCACTCATGTGCTGGGATGATGCTCATCTGTGATTTCTTATATCTGTAAGAGGTTACGAGTATCTCAGTTTAAGAAACATGAGCTTAAAGCAAAGGATTATTTACCAGTCCCATTTTCCCACCCTCCAAAGCAGCAGTTTTGTAGGGCAGAATAGGTACTTGTGGAAGTCTTTCTAAGCTCTAAACTAAGCTAACATTTATGTAAGCTTATGAGGAAGGGGTGATGATCCCATTTGATAGAAAAGGAAAAGTGAGAGAAGGAAGAATAATTTCAACAAAGTCACAGAGTAAGTGTCAGGATCGGGATTTGAATTTAGGTCTCTCTGACTCCAGGGCCTATCCTTGAAATCTTTTTTTAATTTTTTTCAGACTGAGGTATAATTGACATACATACATACCCTTAAGTCTTGTTAACCAAAAAACCTCTACTGCTCCCCGCTTCCCCTTGGTCCCAGCATGGATAAGCAACTCTAGCTTTGTTCTGCCCCAAATAGATTGTGTGAGTTTAAGCGGGCCTCTCTGGGCCTTCATTTGCTCATCGAAAATCAGAGGTTAGTCTTGGGGGTTCCTAAGCCCTTTACAATTGGGAGAATCTGTGCATTAACCTTCCTCATACCAGTCAACATTTATTAAGAACAACTAGTTCTGGGTGCTGGAGCATTCAGGCAAAGAAAACACAGCTTCTGTTCGTGATGAATCCCCTGACATCGAGGGGTAGGACAGACATAAATCAGTCTAATAATGGCCCTCAGTGCCTATGGTGATGGTTATGGTCTGAGCAGAATGTTGTAGGAGCAAAGAGCTTTGGGAAGGCTTCACGGAGTAGGTGATACTTGAACTTAGCCTTGAAGGTTGGGTTAGAACTTAGTAGACAGACAAAAGAGAGCTCTCCAAGGCAGGGAAACCACATGTGCAAAGGCACTGGCATAAGAAAATAGTGTGGTAGTGTGGGGTGTTTAGGAAAGGCAAGAATAGTTCACAAATAAAGCTGTGTGAGTGTGTGGGTGAGAGCACTTGTGTGTGTGTGTGTGTGTGCGTGTATAGCAGAATAGACTAGGAGGAGGACTTGATCTTGATATTAAAGGGTCTTGGATGTGCAGTAAGTTAAACTTTAGTGCTAGGGAAAGGGGTGCCACATCAGACTGAGGTACCCATTCTGCTTTAGGCAGAATAGCTCCACTTTTACCTGCTTTATCTATGCTGTTCTGCTTGATTTCATCAGACAAAAAGTTTCCACTGCTAAAGCAAGCAAACAAATAAGATTATGGCCAAGTAGGTGACTGAGGGGTTTTCTGCTGGGGAGAAGCAGAAAGGACCCTCTAAAGAAGAGTTTGTGCGGCTAAGCCTTTAAGGTTCAGAAGCCTAGAGTTCAGTAGCTGGACAAAAGAGAGCACCTGTGGGGCCAATCAGAGGCCTGATGGCTGACATTAGGGAGCACAAATCTCTTATTCCGCTTCCTTGGCTGGAGAGGGAAATTGTAATTAGAAGACGGGATGCACACACCTCTCTGGGAGGGGAAGATCAAAATTTAGGCCTCCTTGGGGCTTGGGGAAGTTTGTGTGATCTCTAACAGGTAGTCCCCCATGGGGGGCAAAGGGGGAGGGCAGGAAGTGGGCAACTAGACTAACAAAGGTGTCTGTAGCGGTTTGCCCATCCCAGGTGGGAGGGCGGGGCCTAGGGCTCAGCCTGGGCCTGTGTGACTACTTGTGGCTTGGGGGCTCAGAGGAGCTTGGTTAGGAGCTAGGACCCCATTTCAGCTTTTCTGAGGCTGGTGAATGGGGGCTGGGAGCCTTACAATCTCAGGTACTTCTGGAAATTCCCAGGGCAAGGCCCTAGGATGTCTGGTGTTGGGGAAGTAGATCTTGCGGGGGCCCCTTCAGCTCCCTCTCCTTTCACTCAGGGACCATGGGCTGTAGCTGCAGCTCAAACCCTGAAGATGACTGGATGGAAAACATCGATGTATGTGAGAACTGCCATTACCCCATAGTCCCGCTGGATAGCAAGGCCATGGTAAGAGGCGAGACAGGGGGCTTGCTGTGGGAGTTGGGTGGAGTGCACAACCCAGAAGAAATGGACCACGCATATAGGTCCTTGAAATAATAGAGGGACCCTCTCCTCTGGAATACAAAAAGGAAAAGAGAACCAAGAGGGGAAAGAACTCTCCTAAGGACACACAGCAAGTAGTTGGCAAATTCTGAGATAAGATCCAGCCAGGCTGGAGAAGTGGAGAGCAAAATGGTGGGGAGGGTAAAGGAAAAGAAGGGACGTGAACTCAACAGTCCAGGCAGGTTTATTGCTAAAACTGAGAGGCACCTCTCTGTTCTGGTGGGCAGAGCAAAGAAGGCGTTTTTTACAGGCTAAGAGGCTTTTTATGGCTGGGTTTTTTGGCGGGCTTTTGAGGGGACAGGTCAGGGAAAAGGTGGGCTTGTGGCTTGCTGACGTGTCCTCCGGAGAATGCTTGTAGCCTCAGTAAACTGAAACCTAGGTCTCTGAGATGGCAAGTGGGCTTATTCAAAATGGCAGTACTCATGTCTGGGCTCTATCAAGGGGAGACAGGGTCTGACCATAGTCAGACCTGCTCTCTGATGCCACTCTCACTCCCCACCACACAGCTGCCCATCCGGAATGGCTCTGAGGTTCGAGATCCACTGGTCACTTATGAGGGCTCCAATCCCCCAGCCTCCCCACTGCAAGGTAACCTCAACCAGCAGGGCCTGGAAGACAAGGCCTGTGGATCCTTCCTGGTTGGCCTCCACCTCCTTCTCATCTACCCTCTGTTCTGTGCTGCTGCTCTTAGCCTGCTGCCCTGTACCTCTTGAACCCCATGCTCTCAGCCTATTCCAGGCTGGTTCCCCCTGACACCTCCTGTTTTTACAGACAACCTGGTTATTGCCTTGCATAGCTATGAGCCCTCTCACGATGGAGACCTGGGCTTCGAGAAGGGTGAACAGCTCCGCATCCTGGAACAGTGAGTGCCCCCTCCACACCACCCATCCTTATCCTAGGGGAATGTGTGAGGGAGTGGGACCCCGGTGCCCAGCCCTCCAGCCCCTGACTGGCTTGCAATGGGTGCCCCTGAAATAAAATGGGAGGCTCCAGAATGCTGAGCGGGAGGGTGGAGCGGCATGGCCTAACTGGGGGCTCTGAGGATTTCCAGCCAAGTCCACAGCTCAGCAGACCACGCTGACTGCCGCTGTCACACAGGATCGGCGAGTGGTGGAAGGCACAGTCCCTGACCACTGGTCAGGAAGGTTTCATCCCTTTCAACTTCGTCGCGAAAGCCAACAGCCTGGAGCCTGAACCGTGAGTGGGACTCGTCGTGGGGTTGAGTGGGAGCAGATCTAAGGATCCCGGAGCGGAGGAGGGATGCTCTTGGGGTGGTAGTGAATGCTTGGGGGTGATGGAGGAAGAACGAACTGACAGACGACTTCCTTGCGCAGCTGGTTCTTCAAGAACCTCAGCCGCAGGGACGCTGAGCGGCAGCTCCTGGCGCCCGGGAACACGCACGGCTCCTTCCTGATCCGGGAGAGCGAGAGCACGGCGGGTGAGTGGGGGGCGGGGCGGGTGAGTGGGGGGCGGGGCGGGGGCCGGGCGGCCGGAGAGCCCCGGGCTTGGCGCCGAACAGCACTCCTTTCCCTCGTTAGTGTTTCACACGTTCTTTCACTCAGGTTCATTTTCCCTGTCGGTCCGGGACTTCGACCAGAACCAGGGAGAGGTGGTGAAACATTACAAGATCCGTAACCTGGACAAAGGCGGCTTCTACATCTCCCCGCGCATCACTTTTCCCGGCCTGCACGAGCTGGTCCGCCATTACACCAGTGAGCCCCTGGGGGCCCCTCGGACGTGCGCCCGAGGCTCCTGCACCTGTGCCCTATCAGCCTGCCCCCCACCCCAAGTACCTCTCAGGGAGACCACCACCCATCTCTCAGTATGCTTCTTCATTCCCCAAGTAGATGAGGTGCAGTACCCCTACAACCTCAGGTGTCGGGTGACAGCCCCACACCTCCCCTGCCAGTCCATTTCCCCTGTACTGGGACTTGGCGAGGTGGGGACTGGGTGGGGGCACCCGAGTCCTGCCGTACTGACAGCCCTGCTCACCTTCCTGGCCCTCACAGATGCTCCGGATGGGTTGTGCACGCGGTTGAGTCGCCCCTGCCAGACGCAGAAGCCCCAGAAGCCATGGTGGGAGGACGAGTGGGAGGTTCCCAGGGAGACGCTGAAGCTGGTGGAGCGGCTGGGGGCCGGCCAGTTCGGGGAGGTGTGGATGGGTGAGTGAGGTCCCCCAGGACCGCGGGGAAGGGGATGGGGAAGGGGAAGCGCCCTCTGAGGTCGTGGGAGTCCCACGACAGTGGCCTGTTTCAGGGCAGCTGCCTGGCGGTGGGTGCGGTGGCACGGAGTGATGATTCCATCCTCCCTGCCCCAGGGTACTACAACGGGCACACGAAGGTGGCAGTGAAGAGCCTGAAACAGGGCAGCATGTCCCCCGACGCCTTCCTGGCAGAGGCCAACCTCATGAAGCAGCTGCAACACCAGCGGCTGGTCCGGCTGTACGCGGTGGTCACCCAGGAGCCCATCTACATCATCACGGAATACATGGAGAACGGTGGGCGCCGCCGCCATGCGCAGCCGCTCGGGGACGCCGCCCCCCTCTGCCGCTGACTGCTGGAGGGTGGAGGAGATCCGCCTTCTTGTCAAGCTCAGCGCTGAGGGGTTCTAGAGGAGCTTTCCAGTGCCCCTAAAGACTCACCTCCACGGAGGAGAAGAGGGGGTTGTCATCCGGGAGCTCAGCCTAGGGTGGCAGGCTCTGGAAGAGCTTTCTCCTGCTATCTTCCCTGACCTGCTGTAGTGTTTGCCTTCTCAAAGCCCTACCTTGATCTCAGGACACTTGATCACAGGAGATGAGTGGGTCCCTAGGCCCATTTCTCTCCCTTTTGCCCCTGAGCCTTGGAAGGGCAGATCTGTGCCAAAGCCCTTTTTCAGTTCTGGGCCCCTCTCCTTCCCTTAGTCTGCTGTTGGACAGAGTGGGAGCTCCTGGAAGGTGGACAGCAGTTCCTGAGCCCAGCTTTGCCACTGATTTGCTGTGTGATACAGGCCAAGTTCTTGTCCCACCTCTGGTGCTCAGTTTCCCTAAGTATAACAGCAGAAATCTAAACAGGCTCACCCAGAAATAACAGAGTAGCCACCAAGGGTTCTATGATCTGTCTGCGTGGGTTAGAATCCAGGTTTCATGTTTGTGTGGATTCAGGCTAATTACCTCACTTCTCTTTGCTATGGTTTCTTTATCAGTAAAATATGGTGATAATAAAGCAACAGTAACTTTCTCACAGGGCCTTTGTGAGGTTAAAAATGTTACTGTATGTAGAGCAATCAGAACAATGCCTGCCATGTTCTCACTGTTCAGTGTGTTGTTACCTGGCTGTGACTCTGTGGGAGATCTGTCCCTCTTTCAGGAAAGGGAAAAAAGGTATTAATTGGCTAATGGATTCTGGAAATAGCAGATAGGTTTTTTCTTGTGGCCAACTTCAGTTGGTAGTTGGCTTGGAGTTCTGTGATGGGGAGGATTCTGAAGCTCACTGAGAGTGAGTGCTCCTGGGATTGGTTAGCAGCAACTGCCATGGACACATGGCAGAATGGCAGTTTGTGTCCACATATTTGTTGCATCTGGTTGAAGCCTTTATCTTTGGTGACTAATTCTTCAGTCATAGTGGAGATACTCAGGATGCTGCCCTCTTCACACGATTTTAATCTCTTGAGAAAGGCCAATGATCACTAGCTACACTCCAGCAACTGGTCTTCTGGTCACCCTCTGCTATCAGAGAGGTGGCCCCTCAGGCCTCCAGGGACCTGTTTCCATACTCCATGTTATACATTCAACAAACATTTATTGCTGCTTACTTTGAGGGGACACTGGGAACATGGATGGACAAAACAAGTTTTCTGTTATCAGTGAAACTTCATTTTAGTTATGGGAACTAGGAAAACTGGAGTTTGTGCCATAGGAAAGTTTCAGCATGCTGTGGGGAATACAGATGATGATGTAATTTATTATGCCTAGTAGGATCTGAAGAGGCTTCCTAGAGGAATAATCAATAGCTGGGCCATGAAAGAAAAGTAGAATTTTTGTCAGGTGGAGATGGAATAAAGAGACTTTTGGTAAGAAACCAGTGGTCTACGTGAAAAATCTTAAAACTGTCTAGGGTGGGTTGAATTAAAGAGGCGGGAGTAGGCCAAGAGCAGAAACTGCAAATGTGGACTATGCAGGCCTTTGGATGCCTGGCCGAGGAGTTTGGGCTCTACCCCAGGGTTGATAAGAAGATCACAGGCCCCTTCAAGCCCACTCTACCCTGGTCCCTGGGAGAAGACCTTTGCATATCTGGGCACTCTCACCCCAAACACACACTCCTCCATTCTCACCCCTTACCCTTCCTTTCCACACATCAGACACTGCTTCTAGACCTCCAGTTGGGGGAAGGGCTTGGGAGCTCCCTCCCGGGGCAACCTGGGTCAGCAACTCTTGCTTCTGTCCACAGGGAGCCTGGTGGATTTCCTCAAGACTACCCCAGGCGTCAAGCTGACCATCAACAAACTCTTGGACATGGCAGCCCAAGTAAGGAGGCTGGGGCAGGGCTGGGCATGGGTCACAAGGATATCTGGCCCAGGACTGCTGACCTGTACCTGGCCTGCAGATTGCAGAGGGCATGGCATTCATTGAAGAGCAGAATTATATCCATCGTGACCTGAGGGCTGCTAACATCCTAGTGTCTGACACCCTGAGCTGCAAGATCGCAGACTTTGGCCTAGCACGCCTCATTGAGGACAATGAGTACACAGCCAAGGAGGGTAGGTGTGGGATGTAAGGGAAGCCTGGGGCCTGCAGGGTCTGGCCAAGCAGATCCAGATGACCTCAGTCTGTCTCCCTGCCAGGGGCCAAGTTTCCCATTAAGTGGACGGCACCAGAAGCCATTAACTACGGGATCTTCACCATCAAGTCAGACGTATGGTCTTTTGGGATCCTGCTGACAGAGATTGTCACCCACGGCCGCATCCCTTACCCAGGTCAGGGCCAAGGGCAGGAACTGAAAGGGTTATGGAGAAGGGCTGCAAATCCATGTCTTTCCATTCACTTCTTCCCAGACTCAGAATCTGAAACTTTCTAGCTGCTTCTTCTGCTGCATCTTCTCAGGGGTGAGACTCCAATATCCCCAGTCAGGTGCCACACTTCCCAGGGCTGGCCTCTTTCTCTGTCTCTGGATTTCTCTCTCCCTTCAATAATTCCAGCTCTTTTCTTTAGTTTCGACACAGGCAGCCTGGTGTGGGAGAAGAGGATCAGGCCTAGAAGGCAAGAGGCTTACCTTTCTTACCAGATCTGCCTTATGCTAACTTTTTGCTTGTCTTTGATCAGCTCATTCCTTCATTCCCCATCTGTAGAAAGTGAGGTTAGAACACTACCTGGCCCACACTAAACACCCAAGAGTGTCAGATTTTATTACTAATCATCACTTTAGGCATGTGGCTTTGGGCAGGTAACTTCACTTTTCTGAGCCTTGGTTTCCTGATAGGAAAACAAGACTGTGAGAGAGCTTGACTCCCAGAAGGGGCTCACTAAACACTGACTTTCCTTCTCTCTAAAACTTTCCATTTGAAAGTGGGAAAGACATGTAAACAACTAATTCTCACCCTCTCCCACCCCTCCCTCTATCTCCTGGACAATGTCATTTACCCTTGAATTCAGCCAAGACGGGTGGAATTTTTTTAAAGGAACTGGCTAGGAAATTCTGGGGAGAGGAACTGTAACATAACACAAAGACAGGGTAGGGAGGTCACAGTGCACAGTAGCCAGATCTGCAGACGCTTCCCACATCCTCAGAGCAATGTGCACAGAGCTTTGCTCCTAGGAAGGTAAAGGCACCTTAGAATCAGGTGAGAGCCTGAAGGACCTCCCTGCCCTGGACTTGGCCCATCACAGAGTCCAAGGGCAGTGCTGGGGCTAGAATCACAGGTAGTCATCCTGCCAAGAACCCTTACTGCTCCTCCACTGTGCCCATAGAGGTGAACTCAGAGACAATTTCTCCAGTAGAAGAAAAAAGGCACCGAAAGCCTGATACTAAATGGCAGCTGACATGTGCATCAGGGTCAGGGAGACAATGGGGAGTAACAGGGACCTGGGTGAACTTCTAACTCCTCTAGCAGATGTTGCTATTAAGACACAGGGGCCCTAGAAACAGATATTTTCTTTTTTTCAAGAGAAGCCAAAACTTGGAGTTTTAGGAAAATTTGTGCATTTCCAAATATTGATGATTGATTCAAATTGTTTAAAAACACTCTAGGGTCTATGGGCTGTATTTAGGCTGGGTGTCACTTACAAGTTTGCACCCTTGACTCCAGCTTCAGGTGTTTCATTTCCTGGCTTATGTCCTCCAATGTCCTGACTTTGAAATGTGAGGGACTCATTGCTGGAGACCTCTCAGTGGCACAGCTTGGGGAAGAGGGGATTCTACTGACCATGGTGCAATCCTAAGCTTTATAGGGGCAAAATCTAAATTTTCCCAGGACCCTGTAAGAGTTTAGCCACAGTCTTCTCTCAAGAGACCGAAGGAAAAGCCAGAGGCCACATGAGTAATTTAGAAACAGGGAGCTATGTATCTGATGTGACAATGTATTTTTCCAGAAAAGCTCCTCTTAGGGGACACATGCAGGGGCACCAGGACCAGGACAGAGGGAGGGAAGTGGCCCCAAAATTATTTCATCTGGGTCCTGAAGGAGCCTAGTCGCCCTCCCTGCCCCATGTGGAGACTGCTTTGCTGGGGCCCCATGTCAGTCTGACTTTATAATGCAACCTCCCTAGGGCCCGGTCCAAAAAGCTGAAGGAACTTAACACTCTCCTAGCTGGGGGCTCCCCTCCTGTCTTGGGCCCTAACCACCCCAGTCTTCCCCACTAAATAATAATCACAGATACTCCCTATGCAACATCTTTCCTCCAGACACTATACTCTCTGCCTTATATGCATGATCTCATTCAGTCCTAATAACAATTTTATGAGGTAGGAGCTACTATTTATTCCATTTTCCGGATGAGGAAACTGGGGCTCAAAGAGGTAAGGTGGCTCACCATGGCCTCACAGCCGACATGTATATGTTTTCTAAGTCATAGCAGACTCTCCAAGTGGCACCACTGAGATTTCGCAGGTGCCCCAGTACAGCTTTACCTCTGATGAGGATTCTTTTGGATTGGTGCTCATCCCATGCCAGTTGTTAACTATTCTGAACTTCACCCCTGTCTGTGGGCTTCCAAAGCCTGGAGCCTTGTTTCTCCCATCAACCTCTAGGGATGACCAATCCTGAGGTGATTCAGAACCTGGAGCGAGGCTACCGCATGGTGCGCCCTGACAACTGTCCAGAAGAACTGTACCACCTCATGATGCTGTGCTGGAAGGAGCGCCCAGAGGACAGGCCCACCTTTGACTACCTGCGCAGCGTGCTGGAGGACTTTTTCACGGCCACAGAGGGCCAGTACCAGCCCCAGCCCTGAGAGGCCCAGCTGGCCGGGGCCTGAAGCCTTCCCTACACCTAGCCAACCTGGCTGGGGCAGCTGCAGCTCTTGTGCCATACCGATGTGGCATATGGACCCTGCACATGAATCCCACCCACCCGTGACCAATACACTTCTTGTGTCTTACACACGGGTTCTGTGGTTGTGTGGGCTTTGCACATGTGTCTTATACACATGTGGCCTGTGCATATCTGTCCTGGACACCTGTCCAAGTTGTCCCTTTCTGGGTCCTCCTGCTTCCCGAGACCACCAGAGAGGAGCAAGGCCTGTGATTGACATCAGCTTCTGCCTGTCCCCTTTTCCTTTTTCCTGGTCATCAAGAAGCTCCGTGAGGGCCAGGACTTCATCTAATACCTCTGTGTGCTCCTCCTTGGTGCCTGGCACACATCAGGAGCTCAATAAATGTCTGTTTATTGACATCTCTGCTCCCCATTCCCATCTATTCCTTTGGAAGGGGACATAGGGTTTCAGAAGATGGAAACTGAGTCCCCTGAATTGGGATGAAAGATGGGATGAGGGGATATCTCAATTTTTTCCAGTCCTACTGATGTTGAGGGCCAAAAGGAGATGCCTACACCTCGCTCTATGGGCTCTTTGGACCCCTTCAAGCCCCCACTCCAAAAGTTGAAGGGCTACCCCTACCCAGAACCTCTTAAGGAATCAGTGTGTCCCAGGACCCTCCCCTTACTATTATATAAGGGCAAAAACATTTTCTACAGCTACTGATTCAAGGGCTGTATTTGGCCTCATCAGTTTTTTAAATTCATCTTCAGGATGTTTTTAAACATTGAATTAATTCACTTATTTAACAAATATTTATTAAACATCTACTGGGCTCATAGGCTATACAGTAGATTAAACAAAGTCGCTGCCCTTGTGGAGCTTACAATGTAGTTAAGGAAGATAGACAATAAACATTACAGAAGAGTATACAATGCAGTATGCTACAAAGTTAAGTGTTAAGGAGAAAACAGAGCAAGGAAAGGGGAATTATGAACGTCATGGTTGGGGGAGATTTACAGTTTTAAGAGACTAGTCATTGAGAAGGTAGCTTTTGAGCAAAGATTTGGAGGTGAGGGAGTGAGCAGTATTACGGGGCAGAAGGAATAGCCTGATGCAGAGGCATGCCTGGTGGGCTCAGAAGTTAACTGGTGATCCTGAGGGAAGGGGATAATCTGTAGGGATTTGTGCAGAGATATGACTTGATCTGACTTAGATTTTAAAAGAATGGCTTGTAGGCTATCTTAAAAAAGACTGAGTAGTCAATTTATAAAACTGAGGAGATTCTGCATAAAACTCAAGATTCCTGCCTTCTCTTGAAAAAAAAAAAAAAGATTTGATTCCATTGGGTTTACCTGTCTTCATGGAGGTGAATAGTAGCCACCCCTTCAGACGGCATGAGCTCTCCTTTGCCAGAGTCCCCTCCACTCCTTGTTGCTCTCAATGAAGCTAAGTGTTAGTATTTATCATGCTTGTGCTGTTGTTCTTAAAATAAAGGGGACTAAATTTTTTACACCTACATTTCCATTAAAAAGTGAGAAAATTAAAGATACCTGAAGATGACAGTGTGTTTGAAGGAAGATGAGGAAAATACATATATTTTTTTGAAAATGAAAAAGTACCCAATTTTTAAAATACGCAACCTGAATCAAACTAATACAAATAATATAAATTTAACGTAAATCCCCTCATTTATAAATATCACCTGCCTGACATCTGTAGGCAAGCAGAGTTTGTGATTCCTGTTCTGCATTTTATAACATGCTGCCACACCCAAGACCTCATCTGATCCCCACCCTCCGTGTTTGGACACTGTGTGCACCACAGAGTTGGTGAGCTTTGTACTTTCATCATCTCCATTTTATGAAGAGGGAAATGGAGACCCAGAAAGGCTTCCAGTTAGGAAGCAGCAACACAGAACTAGGAACAGGGTTTACTCCCTGGCCCTTTGCTGTCTCTATAGTAGAACTGCCAGGTCTTAGATCTCCTGTTACCTTTATAATTAATGGCCCAAAGGCAGTTCCCAAGTGAAGAATTCAAGTGCCCAAGTACTCTTTAAACTGTAAAGAGGCATAACATTTCATCTTGTTGACTATAGGACCATGAGTAACTACCTTTGCACATAGTAAGCACTCACTAAATATTAATAATTGCTGTAGTTATTATTTTAATAGCCCATCACAGTGCGGAAAAGCTTTAGTTATCAAGGGTAGGGTGGGGTCAGTTTTACCCTCCCTCCAATCCCCTCCCCTCTTTGTCCTCAAGATAATTTTGGTTGTCACATCTTGCAGGGATGGTGCCACTGGCATCTAATGAATTGAGGCCAAGGATGCTGCTGAACATCCTGCTGGGCACGGGACAGCACGGTTTTTATCCAGCCCCTAATGTCACTAGTTTCAATAGCTTGAGAAATCCTGCTCCAGTGTAAGGGGACAGCCAGTTTCCTCTTGTCTAAAGGCACTCCTTAGTTCTCCTGGGTGACTGCCATCAGGGAGGGAGGCTTTGGAGTAAAGAAAGGCTGGGTTTTGCCACTTTGTTACAGTGCCTCTGCTCCCTGGTAGGCATTCAAAAAATCTGTGCAACTGGAAATTGAATTTAATTACTAATTGTGTGTCTTTGAGCAAGTCTCTTTAAACTGTAAAGAGGCAGAACATTTTATCTTGAGGTCTGAACTTCATTATCCTTATCTGTCAAATGGGGATGAATAGCCCTCCTCCAAGCTCTTGTGAGGAGTAACTGAGACAACTGTTGGTAAGGCTATTATTAAACAGTACTTGGCCTACAGCAGTTTTCGTTGTCAAGTTTATTTCTCTCTCTTGCCAACCCGTGTTCTAATCCAAGTTCAGCCCATTTAGCCCAGTGACCTTGTGCAAGTCACTTCCCTTCCACCCCCTCCTTAGGCCTCAGGTGATTCTCTGTAAAATTACAAAGTTGGCCTCTGGCCTCTAAACATGCATCCAACATCGAACGGAAACTGTGAACTTTACAGATCTGTTTTCTTCCTCCGGGACTAATGGTACGGTCCCCCGGCACCCCCACCCGCCCCCATCGCGGGCCTTGGTACAGGCCCAGGGGGCCCTCGGCGGCCTCTCTGGGCTGCCCTTGCCCCCTGCCGAGTTCCGGGCCGTCTCTGCGCAAGCTGATTGGCTGGAGCGGTGCCCGGGCTGCGCGGCTATAGGTGAGCCCGGGAGGGGACGGGCGGAGCGGGCCGCAGACCCGCCCCCTCCCCCTTGGGTCGGACGCTGTGCGGAGCTGCGGGCGGGAGGGCGGACAGACCGACTGACGGGAGGGACGGGAGGCGAGCAAGATGGCGCAGACTCAGGGCACCAGGAGGAAAGTCTGTTACTACTACGACGGTGAGCACCGTCCTCGCTGCGGGGGCGGGGCCGGGCCGGATCCGGGAGAGAGGGCTGAGGGCGGAGGCTGGGAGAGGCTGGGGCGCTGGGGAAAGGCTGGGAGGGGAGGCTGAGCGGAGGACGAGGAGGCTCAGAGGGGGCTCAGGAAAGGAGCTCGAGGCTGAAGGGAAGGAGGTTGAGACTGAGGGAGGAGGCTGAGAGGTAGGAGGGCGGGGTAAAGTGGGAGGTTCAGAGGAAAGGAGATCGAGGCTGAGGAAGGAAAAGAAGGTCAAGACTGAGAAGAGGCGGAGGCCCAGAGGGGGTCCTTTGGGGAACCTGAGGTTATCCTGGTGGGTGGAATTCAAAGAAAGTGTGATGCCAAGAGTTGGAGTGGACTCCCAGAGAGAGGCTGAGTCTGAAGGGGGAGGCCAAATCTGTTGGAGGTTGTAAGAATATATTTTCCTGCTGAGAATACAAAGGTCTTTCAAGATCCTCTTCTTTCCTCACCTTTTCTAGTGACAGCCCTGCAGGAATCACCAATGCCTTATACCAGCTTCCCCTCCCCCAGTCTCTGAGCAGGGCCTGAAGTTGCTGCTGGGAGATGGGGCCCCTGGGGTTGGAAGGAGGATGCAACCTATTAAAACAGACTTTTAACACAAATAGGTCTGGCAGCTAACTCTGTACTAGGTTGTGGTCAGTTGCTGGGGCCATGGGATGATCACTTTCCATCCTCCTCAGACTGGAGACCATGAATTGCTCTCCAGTGTCATGGGTGAAAGAAAGCTCAAGAGTGTTAGGGGAGCACAGAGCAGAGCCTCCCAGGCCAGCCTGAGGAGTGAGGGAAGGAGGTGCCATGAAAGTTGGGACCTGAAGAACAGGAGTTATTAGCCAGGCACAGGGAAAGCAAGGATAACAAGTTTAGAGGGAAGAGAGAGGACAGTACCTTTGAAAAACGCAGGTATTTATATCATGTGGCTGGGACATAGATTTGAGGGCAGAGTGTGAAAGGTAAGGAGCAGGGTTGAGGGAAAGGGTGCAAATGATGAGGCTGGGGAAGTAAATGGGGACCAGATGCTGAGTGGTTCGGCATACTCACCTAAGGAAGTTGGACTTAATTCTCAGCACTTGTGAATCATTGAAGTTTTATGCACCTTAGTGGCATCATCAGATTTATACATGAGAACTATCTCTTTGGGACAGAAATCCTTGAAGGTAGGGGTAAGGAAGAAGGCAAGGATCCCAAGTTTCTGGTTTGGGCAATTTGATGCTGAGTGTTTGGAGAAGGCCTTGTCAGTAACTTTGTTTTTTTTTTTTTAAGAAATACTCATTGAGATGTCTTGGGGTATCCAAGTAGAGGCATCCAGTAGGCAATTAGCCATTAGAGTCTGTGGTTCAAAAGA